ACAAGTTGGGAGCAGCGGGGCTGTGCCCCCCCTGTGGGCTGAGACCCCTTTGGGGCAATTTTGGGGGCGTTCAGACCCCTTTGGGGACAATTTTGGGGTGCGGAGACCGCTTGGGGGAGCTCCGAGCGGGGAGGACACGAGGTGGGGGCTCAACCCTCGTTGCCCCCTCCCTAAAACCGGGGATTCTTCTCCAAAAACGCCGCCCCCTCCCCAAAAACTGGGGAACCCTCCTCAAGAAACGGGGAACCCTCCTCAAAAAACGGGGAACCCTCCTCAAAAAACGCCCCCTCCCCCAAAACACCGCATCCTCACCCCAAATCCCCCCGGCCTGGGGGGGTCCCTGGGTGTTCGGGGAGGGGTCCCCAATATGGGGAGGGGTCCGCGGGTGTCCCCCCGCCCCGAACAATGGCCGGGAGCGCGCAGCAGCGCAGACAATGGGGCGGGCGCGGGGGCGCTCCGGGGGGAGCCGGGCTTTCCTCCGCCCCCTCCTGCCCTTCCTCCTCCTCCTCCTCCTCCTCCTCCTCCTCCTCCTCCTCCTCCTCCTCCTCCTCCTCCTCCTCCGCCGCCGGCTCCGGGTGCGGGGGGGACGCGCACAAAGGTGCGGGGCGATGGTGAGTGGGGGGCGATGGTGAGTGGGGGGTCCCGGGGGGGTCCCGGGGGGATCCGGGGCTGCCGAAGCGGCCCTGGGGCCGGGCGGGGAGCGGGGCCGGGCCGGGGCCGCGCTCGGTGCGGGAAGGGCCCCGCCGGCCGCGGCTTTTCCTGCGCTCCGGCGGCGGCGGCTGCGGGAGCCGCGATTGGGGAGGGGGCGATGGGACCCCCCGGGAACCCCCTCGGGGCGCGGTGCGACCCCCGGGACCCCCGGGACGTGCCCCGGGCTGCGGCGGGGGTGGCACGGCGGCCTCGGGGCGCTTTGTGCCCATCGCGGGGGCACCTGCGGGGCGTCCCCGGGGTGTCCCCAAGGTGTGCCCGGTGTCCCCCTCATGGCCTGCGCGGTGTCCCCGGTGTCCCCATCACCCTCGGGGTGTCCCCCGGTGTCCCCCCGTCACACTCGGGGTGTCCCTGGGGTGTCCCCCCTGCTGTCCCCCCGTGTCCCCACTGTCTCCCCCGGTGTCCCCACGCCCTGCCCGGTGCCCGGGGCTCCCTGTGCCGGGCGTGCCCGGTGCCCCCCGGCTCCGAGACAGCCCCGGCCGGATCCCGAGCCGCTTCCCGGAGATCCCGAGCCGGTTCCCGGAGATCCCGAGCCGGTTCTGGGATCCCGAGCCGGTTCCTGGATCCCGAGCCGGTTCTGGGATCCCGAGCCGGTTCTGGGATCCCGAGCCCGTTCCTGGATCCCGAGCCGGTTCCCGGAGATCCCGAGCCGGTTCCTGGATCCCGAGCTGGTTCTGGGATCCCGAGCCGGTTCTGGGATCCCGAGCCGGTTCCCGGAGATCCCGAGCCGGTTCTGGGATCCCGAGCCGGTTCCCGGAGATCCCGAGCCGGTTCTGGGATCCCGAGCCGGTTCCGGGATCCCGAGCCGGTTCCCGGAGATCCCGAGCCGGTTCCTGGATCCCGAGCCGGTTCCCAGAGATCCCGAGCCGGTTCTGGGATCCCAAGCCGGTTCTGGGATCCCGAGCCGGTTCCTGGATCCCGAGCCGGCTCCCGGAGATCCCGAGCCGGTTCTGGGATCCCGAGCCGGTTCCTGGATCCCGAGCTGGTTCCCGGAGATCCCGAGCCGGTTCTGGGATCCCGAGCCGGCTCCCGGAGATCCCGAGCCGGTTCCTGGATCCCGAGTCGGTTCTGGGATCCCGAGCCGGTTCCTGGATCCCGAGCCGGCTCCCGGAGATCCCGAGCCGGTTCTGGGATCCCGAGCCGGTTCCTGGATCCCGAGCCGGTTCTGGGATCCCGAGCCGGTTCTGGCAGAGCCGCCCTGGATCCCTGACCCGGTTCCCCGAGCCGGTTCCCGGTTCCCGAGCCGGTCCCGGATCCCAGCCTGGGATGTTTTGTTGTTTTTCCTTCGGGATTCTCTTCCTTCCCCCCGCGGGCGGAGGTGAAAACGCAACAAAACAACGAAAAAGAAATTAAAACAACAACAACAAAAAGAGGAGATTTCGGGAAAATTCAAATCTCCTCCTGGAGGAGCCCCCGGCAGAAATCCGAGCCTGGGGCCGGGACCCAGACGGGACCCCGAGGATTTTCCCGGCGCTTTGTGAAGCTCGGATGATTTAATTAATGAGCAATTAGCAATTAGCGGGCGGCGGGCTCGAGGTGCCCCCGTGTCCCCAATTCCAGAGGGGTCGGGGACAATCCCGGCCCTCCCATGGGAGCGATCCCACGGCAGGAAGGAATTCCCGGTTTTCAGACAATGGGGCCGGAGGGAGCAGCCCCGGATCCGGCTCGGTTCGGGATTCGGGATGAGATTCCCGAGAGGTTTTTATGGATTCATTGTCCAGGGCCGGGATGCCGAGGCCTGGGAAGGGAATTTGGGAATTCCCGAATTCGGAATTCCTGCCCAAGCCGAGGAGGTTCGGAATCCCTGGATGTGATGGGAACGTCGCGGCGCTCCCGGATCCCGCTGGATCCCGACCCTGCTGCCGCTTTTCTGGGATCTGGGACGTGGGAAATGGAACTGGGGAGATCCCAAAGCATCGGGAGCTGCTGGAGCAGAATTCTCATGGATCCAAACCGAAATCCTGGGAGATCCCGGCGTCCTTTGGGGGCAGGAATTGGGGTTTTGGGGTTTTTCCCGAAGAAAACGTCGGAATTCCCGGCGAGGACGTGGATTTATGGGATGGTCCTTCCCAAATCCCACGGAGCCGCCTGGAAGCGGATTTGGGATTGTTGGAAAGATGAGATTTGGGATTTCTCCAGGGAATTCTGAGCGTTCTCCGTGAATTTGGGATTTCTCCAGGGAATCCTGAGCGTTCCCCGGGAATTTGGGATTTCTCCAGGGAATTCTGAGCAATTCTCCGGGAATTTGGGATTGGGGAATTTAGGGAAGGGATGGGGTGATGGGATTTGGGATTTCTGCAGGGAATCCTGAGCAATTTCCCAGGAATTGGGATGGGGGATTTAGGGATGTGGGGTGGGAATTCCAGAATCCTGGAAATTTTTTGCTGGGAATTTGGGAGAATCCTGAGGCGGATTTGGGATCCGATCCCAGGGAATGGGGGCAGGACAAGAGGGAACGGCCTCGAGCTGTGCCAGGGCTGGAAATTTGGGATGGTTTTTCCATGGGAAAAGGGTCGGGAAGGGGCTCAGGTGGGGCTGGATCCCCATCCCCGCAGGGAATCCCTGGAATTCGGATTTGATCCATCCCAGCTCGGACTCGGTGACCTCGGAGATCTTTCCCGGGATTTTCTGGAATTCCCACCCCCATCATTCCCAGCCCTCCCCAGTTCCTCCAGGACGGGAATCCCGGATCCTTCACCCAACGGATTCTCCCTCTCCAAGTGGGATTTTTCCCAGGAAAATTCATTCCCAGCATTCCCAGAACCCCGGATCAGGAAGGAGCCGATTTTCCGCTTGGAATTCTCCCTCTGGAGCCGTCGGGAAGAGGCTTTTTCATCAGGAAACGCTTTGGATCTATTTGGTTTTATTTTTAATTTGATTTTCGCTCTTTTGGGGAACATTTGAATCCCAAACGTTGGATTTGAGGCTCCAGGACTTTGATCCCCGGAAAAATTCCAGCCTGGGCTTGAAGGCGTCGGGAATGGCGAAGCCTCCCCGGGCCTGGGGGGGTTTTTTGGGGAGCTTTGATCGTCCCGGGATTAAAAAATGGGAATTTTCCTCCTCCTCCTCCTCTTTTGCATCCGGCTCTGGCTCCCGGCGTCTCCCAGAGCCCGGGAATCCATTCCCGGCATCTCCAGGGCTGTGGAACCGGCTCTGCTGGAAAAGATTCCAAGAAAAATCCCTTTTTTGTTGTTTTTCACTGCTGGAACGGGAGGATGAGGAGCTCCAGGATCCCGGATTCCTGCTGGAATTCCCAAATTCCCTTTGGGATGGGGACGATACCTGTCAAACCCGTGGACTCCTGGAAAATCCCGAATTTATTTTGGCTGAATCCACAGGCTGGGGACAAGAGACCTCGGAACAGCTGGAAAATCCCGGGATTCATGGAAAACCCCAGGATTCATGGGAAACCCCAGGATCTCTGGAAAACCCCAAGTTCACTTCAGCTCGAGACACTGGGATTTCTGGAAAACTCAGGGATCCCTGGAAAACCCCAGGAATTCTGGAAAACCCCAGGAATTCTGAAAAAAACCAGGATTTCTGGAAAATGCCAAGTTCACTTCGGCCGCAGACACCGGGATTTTGGGAAAACTCAGGGATTCCTGGAAAATCGCAAATCTATCCCGGCCAATTATCCAGAAGGACAATTCCCAAAAATTTTGGGATGCCTGGGGTGGGGGAGATGTCCAATCGCTTTTCTATGGTGCTCCCAAGGAATTCCCGAGCAGCGGGATCCGGGAATTGGTGGGATTGAGGAATTGGCGGGATTGGGAATTGGCAGGATTTGGAAATTTGTGCAATTTGAAAATTGGCAGAATTGGGGAATTGGCGGGATTTGAAAATTGATGGGATTGAAAATTGGCGGGATTGGAAATTGGTGGGATTTGAAAATTGGCGGGACTCGAAAATTGGCAGGATTGGGGAATTTGGGAATTTACAGGATTGGGGAATTGGCGAGATTGGGAATTGGCAGGAGTTGGAAATTTGTGGGATTGGGGAATTGGCGGGATTTGGTAATTTGCAGGATTTGAAAATCGGCAAGAGCTGGAAATTGACGGGATTTGAAAATTGGCGGGATTGGGTAATTTGGGAATTCAGGATATAGGAATTTTGGAATTTTGGCATTTTAGAATTCAGGATTTAGGAATTCAGGAATTTTGGAATTCGGGAATTTGGGAATTTTGGAATTCGGGAATTTGGGAATTTTGGAATTCGGGATTTTGGGAATTGCTCCCGAATTCCCGTTGTTTGTCCCCGCAGCTCCAGGGCGGCCCCCCCGTGCCCGTGCCGTGAGCAGCCCCCCATGCCCGGCCCGTGGTCCATGCCGGCCCCTCCGGAGGCTCCGGACGCCCCAAAGGCCTCGGAGAGCGCCGGGACGGAGCCGCCGCCGCCGGAGCCGCCCGGTGAGTGAGCCCGGGGACACTGGGGGGACTGGGAGGGGAGCCGGGCACCACTGGGGATACTGGGGGTACTGGGGATACTGGGACAGGATCCACCCCATCGCTGGGGGGACTGGGGATACTGGGAATACTGGGATGGGATCCGGCCATTACTGGGGATACTGGGACAGGATCCAGGCACTACTGCGGATACTGGGAGGGGAGCCGGGCACCACTGGGGATACTGGGATGGGAGCCGGCCAATACTGGGGATACTGGGGATACTGGGATGGGAGCCAGGCATTACTGGGGGTACTGGGAATACTGGGGAGACTGGGATGGGATCTGGCCCTTACTGGGGATACTGGGGTGGGATCCAGCCATTACTGGGGATACTGGGGATACTGGGATGGGATCCAGCCAATACTGGGGGGACTGGGGATACTGGGAGGTGAGCCAGGCATTACTGGGCATACTGGGATGGGATCCAGGCATCACTGGGGGTACTGGGGATACTGGGATGGGATCCAGCCACTACTGGGGGGACTGGAGATACTGGGATGGGATCCAGGCCTTACTGGGGTTACTGGGTTATGGGACATCCTGGGACAGGATCCAGCCATTACTGGGGAGCCCTTATTGGTGTTACTGGGGGGACTGGGAGCCTAGGATCCAACCCTTACTGGGGTTACTGGGACAGGATCCAGCCATTACTAGAGGGACTGGGACATACTGGGATCGGATCCATCCGTTATTGGGGTTACTGGGAGCCTGGGATCCAGCCCTTACTGGGGTTACTGGGGAGCCCTTACTGGGGTTACTGGGGGAACTGGAAGCCTGGGATCCAGCCCTTACTGGTGTAACTGGGACATACTGGCGCAGGATCCAGCCCTTACTGGTACATACTGGGGCAGGATCCACCCCATTACTGGGACATACTGGGGCAGGATCCAGCCCTTACTGGTACATACTGGGGCAGGATCCAGCCCTTACTGGGCTTACTGGGCCATTCTGGGACCCCCAGCGTCTCCCGGCCCCGTTCCCGTCTCCCGGGCGACGGCGGCCCGCGGGAACGGCCTCGGTTTCCATGGAGATCCGTGCGGGATCATCCGGAATCCCGGACAAAGGAATTCCCCCCTTCCCCCTTTGCGCCTCCCTGACCCCTTTCCCCCTTTCCCGGGGCCTTGGGAAAGGGGCCCGAGGGGGTTTTGGGGTGGATTCGGTGGGAACGGGATTTCCATGGAAACCCGGGAGGCTGGGACGGCTCCCAGAGGCAGCCGGGGCCTCCCGGACTGCGGGGTTGGGGCGCCCAGATTCCCCCAAAACCCTGGGGAAAGGTTTGGCAGGATCATCCCGAGGGAATCCCAAATTCCCAGATTCCCAAGGCGGGGACGCAGCCCCAGATCCCAAGTCCCTTTTCCCCTGCCCATCCCAAATTCCCTCTCCCTGCTCACCCCAAATTCCCTCTCCCTCCTGACCCCAAATCCCCTTTCCCTGCCCCATTTCCCACCTGGGAAAGGGATGCAGGGCCAGGAGGGGGCTCTGGGCCATCCTGGTCCATCCTGGTCCATCCTGCACCATCCTGGGCCGTACTGGACCATCCTGGGCCATCCTGGGCCATCCTGGGCCATCCTGCACCATCCTGGGCCGTCCTGGGCCGTACTGGTCCATCCTGGGCTGTCCTGGGCCATTCTGGACCATACTGGTCTGTACTGGGCCACACTGGACCATCCTCGTCCATCCTGGGCCATCCTGGGGCCATCCTCGTCCATCCTGGGCCATCCTGGGCCATACTGGGCCAGCCCCAGTGACACTCTCCATGTGTCCCTGCAGGTGGGCGCGTCCTTTTCTCCTGAGCGAGGCCACCCCAAGGTGACAAAATTGAGCCCCTCAAGGTGACGGTCGATCTCCTGAAGGTGCCCTGGGCCTGAAGAAGCCCCCGCTGAAGGAGGCCCTGGCCGCCCTCCCGGGGAAGCCCAAAGCCCAAATCCTGGAGCGGCACAAGGCCCGGCGCTGCGACGCCATGGACAACGAGTCCCAGTACTCCGGGTACTCCTACAAATCCGGCCACTCCCGCAGCTCCCGCAAGCACAGGTGAGGGACCCGCGCCCCTGTCCCCTCCCTTGGCGGGTGTCCCCATGACCCCAATCCCGAGGGATGTCCCAGTCCCACTTTCCCCTCTTTTTCCCCCATTTTTCTTGCTTTTCCCCCATTTTCTCCCATTTTTCCTTCTTTTTTCCTTCTTTTTCCCCCATTTTTCCTGTCTTTTTTCCCCACTTTTTTCTGCTTTTTTCCCCCATTTTCCCTGCTTTTTTCCCCATCTTCCCAACATTTTCTCCCCATTTTTCCTGCTTTTATTCCCCATTTTCCCACTTTTTCCCCCATTTTTCCTGCTTTCCCCCCATTTTTCCTGCTTTTTTCCCCGTCTTTCCCCCATTTTTCCTGCTATTTTTCCCCATTTTTCCTTCCTTTTTCCTTCCTTTTTCCTTCCGTTTTCCTTCCTTTTTCCTTCCTTTTTTCTTCTCTTTTCCCACTTTTTTCCCCCATTTTTCCTGCTTTTTTCCCCCATTTTTCCCCTGTTTGTCCCCCATTTTTCCTTCTTTTTTCCTTATTTTCCCCCCATTTTTCAATCATTTTCCCCCCATTTTTCCCACATTTTTCCCACATTTTTTTTGCTTTTTTCCCATTTTTCCCCGCTTTCCCCAGGGATCGGCGGGAGCGGCACCGCTCCAAGAGCCGGGACGGGACGCGTGGGGACAAATCGGTGACGATCCAAGCGCCGGGGGAGCCTCTGCTGGACAACGAATCCACGCGGGGCGACGAGAGGGTGAGCGCGGGGGGGGGACACAGGGCCGGAGCCCCCCGAGGGATGAAGGGATGAGGGAATGCTTCCCGTTGGAATTTTTCCCGATGGAATTTTCCCCGTCGGAATTCCTCCCGGCGGGATTTCCCGGCCGAGCGGTCCGGCCGGTCGGGCCGGTCCTGTGGGGAGAACGAGAAAATGAGAAAGTGAAAAGGAGACGCGGCGGCGGCGCCAGGGCTGGAAAACGCCCCCGGGATCTGATCCCCAATGAACCCAAACTTTGAGGATTTGCCCCAAATTCCCCCCTGGATGGGGCAGGGGAGGCTGCCCTGCCCGTGGTGCCCCTCATTCCCAAATTCTGGAATTTCTCCAGCTCGATCCCGGCCTTTCATCCTCTCCCAATCCGCCCACGCCGGCGGCTCTGGCGCTTTTCATGTTCCCTCTGCGGCGCCTTTTCCTGGGAATGGGGATTTTCCTGAGAATGGGGGATTTTCCTGGGAATGGGGCTTTTCCTGAGAATGGGGGATTTTCCTAGGAACGGGGGCTTTTCCTGGGAATGGGGCTCCCGGAGCTGCCCTGGAGCGTCCCAGGCTTCGCTTTGCCCCTTGGAACAAAATCCATGGAACCCTGGAATTGCTTGGATGGGGATCATCCCACGGGCAGGGACGCCTCCCCACCATCCCAGGGCGCTCCGGCCTGGAATTGGGGCTGGAATTTTCCAGCGATCCATGGAGAAACAGGAATTGGGCTGGAATTGGACTGGAATTTTCCAGGGGTCCATGGAAAAACAAGGAGGAATCTCCCGGTTTTCCAGCAGGAATCTGTGGGGAAAATTCCTACAGGGAAAACAAAAAAAACCCCAAATTCCAGGAATGTCCGAACGCCCAAGCGCCCAAAACCAGGATGAGGGAAAGACACACAGACAGGGCTGGGAGAAGGAATCCAGCTGGGAAGGAATCCAGGAATTTTGGCACCTCTCTGGCTGGGAGAGGGGGTTCTGGAGCGGGGAAGGGCCTGTCTGGAGCCATTCCCAAAAATTCCTGAAAATTTCCAACGATTCCTGACCCTTCCAAGCGTTCCCAAGGATTCCCAAGCATTCCCAGCCTACCCGGCGCGGGCAGCGCTGCGGGGGCGTGCCGGGCGTGTTCCTGCTGGTCCTGCCAGCCAGGAAGGTTGGCCAGGAAATCCGGGAGCTTCCCGATCCCAGAGCTGCTCCTGCCGGAGCTTTCCCGATCCCAAAGCTGCTCCTGGCGGAGCTGGAGCTTCCCCAGAGGGAGAATTCCCAGCGGAATTCCCGGCGGAATTCCCAGGCCCGGGCTGAGGTTCCTCCACCCTGAGGAGGGCGATGGCTCCGGGCAGCGCTCCCGGCGTGGAGGTGGGATGGGGGTGTGGAGAACAGGGAATGCTCCTCTGGGATTGAGGGAATTCGGGAACCAACCCTTGGAATGTGCCCTGTCACCTCGCCAGGGTGGCATTTCCTGGAGATGTGGTGGGTGGGAGGTCCTGGAGGTCAGGTGGGACACGGAGCCACCCCTGGAAATGTCCCCTGCTCTGGGTGGTCAGTGGGAGGTCCTGGAGGTGAGGTGACCACCTGGGACAGGTAGGACCCCTTGGAATGTCCCTGTCACCTCCCCAGGATGACAATGGGGACACTCTTGGTTTGATGGTGCAAAGGATGGGAGGTCTTGAAGATGAGGTGGGACAGGTGGAACACCTCAAAATGTCCCCTGCTCAGGATGACACCTGGCTGGTCAGAGGGCGGTCCTGGAGGTGAGGTGCCCACCTGGGACAGGTGGGACATGAAGCCACCCCTCGAAACATCCCCTGTCCCCTCCCCAGGACGACAACTGGGGCGAGACCACCACGGTGGTGACGGGCACGTCGGAGCACAGCATCTCCCACGATGACCTCACGCGCATCACCAAGGACATGGAGGACAGCGCCCACCTGGACTGCTCCCGCCACCTGGGCGTGGCCCTGGGCGCGGCCCTGGCGCTCCTGGCCTTCCTCACGCCCTTGGCCTTCCTCCTCCTCCCGCAGCTGCTGTGGCGGGAGGAGCTGGAGCCCTGCGGGACGCCCTGCGAGGGGCTCTTCATCTCGGTGGCCTTCAAGCTCCTCATCCTCCTGCTGGGCAGCTGGGCCCTGTTCTTCCGCCGCCCCAAAGCCTTCTTCCCGCGCGTCTTCGTCTTCCGCGCGCTCCTCATGGTGCTGGTGTTCCTGCTGGTGGTGTCCTACTGGCTCTTCTACGGCGTGCGGATCCTGGACTCGCGGGACCGCAACTACCGCGGCGTGGTGCAGTTCGCCGTGTCGCTGGTGGACGCGCTGCTCTTCGTGCACTACCTGGCCGTGGTGCTGCTGGAGCTGCGGCAGCTGCAGCCGCAGTTCACGCTCAAGGCCGTGCGCTCGGCCGACGGCGCCAGCCGCTTCTACAACGTCGGCCACCTCAGGTGGGGACGGCACCGGTGGATGTTCTCGTGGTGGGAATGGGGATTTTTTAATGTGGGAAGGGTGGATGTTCTTGTGGTGGAAATGGGGATTTTGTAACGTGGGCTTGGGTGGATGTTCTCGTGGTTGGGAATGGGGATTTGTAACGTGGGCTTGGGTGGATGTTCTCGTGGTGGGAATGGGGATTTTTTAATGTGGGAAGGGTGGATGTTCTTGTGGTGGAAATGGGGATTTTGTAACGTGGGCTTGGGTGGATGTTCTCGTGGTGGGAATGGGGATTTTTTAATGTGGGAAAGGTGGTGAGATGTTCTGAGGGTGATCAGACTGGAGGAAAGGGAGATTTTGTGTTCCTCCAAGGGGGAATTTGGGATCTGATTGCAGGGAACGGGGTCACAGAATCCCAGAATCCCAGAATCCCAGAATCCCAATCCCATGATGGGAATGGGGATGTTGTAACGTGGGCTTGGGTGGATTTTCCTGCGGTGGGAATGGGGATTTTTTAATGTGGGAAAGGTGATGACTTCCCGGTCTGCAAGTGGAGATCTGGGGTTTTTGGAGGAGCTGAAGGTTGAATTGCGGTTTTGGGAGGGTTTTATTGGGTGGGTTTTGCCGTTTCTGGGGGGATCCGTGGCACTTCCAGTGTCCTTGGAGCAATCCTGGAGATGTTCTGAGAGGATGAAGGGGATCAGGCTGGAGGAAAGGGAGATTTTGGGTTCCTCCAAGGGGGGGATTTGGGATCTGATTGCAGGGAATGGGGTCAGAGAATCACGGAATCACATAATCGTGGAATCCAGAATCCCAGAATCCCAGAATCCCAATCCCATGATGGGAATGGGGATTTTGTAACGTGGGCTTGGGTGGATTTTCCTGCGGTGGAAATGGGGATTTTTTAATGTGGGAAGGGTGGATGTTCTCGCGGTGGGAATGGGGATTTTGTAACGTAGCAAAGGTGGATGTTCTCGTGGTGGGAGCTCTTTTCTCTGGGAATTGATGGAATCACGGAATGGTTTGGGTTGGAAGGACCTCACAGATCCATGGGCGGGGACACCTCCCACCATCCCAGGTGGTTCCAACCCGACCTTGGACATTCCAGGGATGGCACGTCCACGTTTTTGCCGGGAATTCCCTCCCAGCCCCTGCTGTCCCTCGGTGTGTGTCCCCCCCACGCGTTCCCGCTCTCCCCCTGCCCCACGTTCCCGATGTTCCCCCCGCAGCATCCAGCGAGCGGCCGTGTGGATCCTGGAGAATTACTACCACGACTTCCCGGTCTACAACCCCGCCCTGCTCAACCTCCCAAAATCCGTCCTCTCCAAGAAAATGTCCGGCTTTAAGGTCTATTCCCTCGGCGAGGGTGAGGTTCCATTTCCCCCTTTTCCCCCTTGGCTTCCCCTTCTCCTTCTCCTCCCGTTCCTCCATCCTCATCCTCGCGGTCGCTCTCGTGGACGTTTCTCCATCCCCGTCCTCGTGTTCCTCTCCGGAATTTTTTTGGAGGGAGCTCTGGGTGTTTCCTCCCTTCTTTTCCGGAATTTTTGGGGAACTCTGGGTTCTTCCTCTCTGGAATTTTTTGGAGGGAGCTCTGGGTGTTTCCTCCCTTCCTCTCTGGAATTTTTTGATGGGAGTTCCAGGGGTTTCCTCCCTTCCTCTCTGGAGTTTTTTGATGGGAGTTCCAGGGGTTTCCTCCCTTCCTCTCCACAATATTTTGGGGGGAGCTCTGGGTGCTTCCTCCCTTCCTCTCCGGAATTTTTTTGGGGACCTCTGGGCTCTTCCTCTCTGGAATTTTTTGGGGGGAGCTCCGGGCGCTTTTTCCGAGCTCACCCCCGCTCTGGATGGCTCCACCAACAGAGAATTCCACCAACAACTCCACGGGGCAGTCGCGGGCGGTGATTGCGGCGGCGGCGCGGCGGCGCGACAACAGCCACAACGAGTTCTACTACGAGGAGGCCGAGCACGAGCGCCGGGTGCGGAAACGCCGCGCCAGGTGAGGAAAAATCCACGGATTCCCCGCCTTGGGAATGCTGTGGTGGGTTCTTTCCAGGTTTTTCATGGATGGGGATGTTCCAATTGGTGATTCCAGATCAACCCAAGGGCAGCGGTTTGGAGGGATTGCCAACCGAGTTGGTTGAAACTTGGGTTCTTTCATCCGAGTGAATCCCAGCAGATCCAAGATTTCCGTCCTGGATCCATGGAGATTCCTATCCTAAATCCAAGGGAGTTTCGCATCCCAGATCCAAGGGATTTCCCATCCTAAATCCATGAGATTTCCCATCCCAAATCCAAGAGGTTTTCTGTCCTAAGTCCAAGGGTTTTACATTCCAGTTCCAAGGGAGATTCCATCCTAAATCCAAGGGATTTTTCCGTCCCAAATCCAAGTGGTTTTCCATCCCAAATCCACGAGATTTCCCATCCCAAATCCACGAGTTTTTCCATCCCAAACCCACAAGGTTTTCCATCCCAAATCCAAGGGATTTCCCATCCTAAACCCAAGGGATTTCCCATCTCAAATCCAAGGGATTTTCCATCCCAAATCCACGGGGTTTCTCATCCCAAACTCACGGGGTTTCTCACCCCAAATCCAAGAGGTTTTCTGTCCCAAATCCACGGGTTTTTCCCATCCCAAATCCACGAGTTTTTCCATCCCAAACCCCCGGGTTTCCCCGCCTCTCCCGCAGGCTGGTGGTGGCGGTGGAGGAGGCCTTCACGCACATCAAGCGGCTGCAGGAGGAGGAGCAGAAGAACCCGCGGGAGATCATGGACCCGCGCGAGGCCGCCCAGGCCATCTTCGCCTCCATGGCCCGCGCCATGCAGAAGTACCTGAGGACCACCAAGCAGCAGCCCTACCACACCATGGAGAGCATCCTGCAGCACCTCGAGTTCTGCATCACCCACGACATGACCCCCAAGGTGCCCAGACGGGGGTTTGGGTTGGATTTATCCCGTTTGGGATCATCCCGATGGGAAAATGAGGGGTTGGAGTGAGGTGGGGTTGGGTTCTTCTCGTGGGGATCTGGGGATGGAGCTGGAGCCGCTGGAGAAGGGAATGGAGAATCTTGAGGGTGATTGAGGGGCTCAGCCTGAAGAAAAAGGGGATCCAGGGGGGATTTGGGGTCTGCCAGGGGGGATTTGGGATCTGACCCCAGGGAATGGGGCAGGACAAGAGGGAACGGCCTCGAGCTGCGCCAGGAGAAGCTCAGGGTGGGAAATTTGGGAAAATCCCTCCTGGAAAGGCCTTGGAAGGGGCTCAGGGAGGGTTGGGGTGACCACTCAAGGAATTCCTGGAATTCTGGTGGAGCAGGTGGGGATTGCCCCCAACTCTGACTCGATGACCTCAGAGCTCTTTCCCAACCTGGACAATCCCCAGAAATCCCCAAAAATTCCCAAAGCGGCACCACGGGGCCTTTTTTCCCTCCAAAACAAACCAAAACCAGATCCTGGCCACCCCGAGGTGACATCCCCGTGTCCTTGCCCTCTCCCAAGGCCTTCCTGGAGCGGTACCTGACGGCCGGCCCCACCATCCAGTACCACAAGGACCGCTGGCTGGCCAAGCAGTGGACGCTGGTCAGCGAGGAGCCGGTGACCAACGGCCTCAAGGACGGCGTGGTCTTCGTGCTCAAGCGCCAGGACTTCAGCCTGGTGGTGTCCACCAAGAAGATCCCGTTCTTCAAGCTCTCCGAGGAGTTCGTGGACCCCAAGTCGCACAAGTTCATCATGAGGCTGCAGTCGGAGACCTCGGTGTGATTGGGATTTTTCCCGAATCCTTCCGGCTCCGAATCTCCCAATTTGGCTCCTCCGGCGCCGCCGGGACGCGGAAAAGCGGGAAAGGCGCTCCCGGCTCCGGCGCCCTGCTGGGATCATGACCACTCGTCCTTTCCTGAGGTGGCTGAGCGCCTTCTCCTCATCCTCCTCCTCCTCTTCCTCCTCATTCCGAAATCCGGATCCCTTGGAGCCGGAACTCAAGGGCTAATCCCAAGAATTCCCAACTTCCTTCTTCACCAGCGTCCTTGGAGCAGCTCCGGGGTCCCACCGACCTCCTGCTCCTCCCGTCCGTGTTCTCCTGGACGTCTGTCCTGGCTCTGGCCTTAAACCACTTCCCAGCTTGGGATCCCAAGGGAATTTTGGAATCGTCTCCAGGAATCCGTGGCTGCTATGGAAAAGCTCCCCCTGGTGCACCCCCAGGTTTTGGGAGCGTCCTCCTCGCCTCTGCTGAATTTTTAGGAAAAACGAGCGGAAATTTGGGATTTTTTGGAGGAGCTGAAGGTTTTGGGAGCACCCTCCTCACCTCTGCTGATGTTTTTAGGAAATCTGGGATTTTTGGAGGAGCTGAAGGTCGAATTGAGGTTTTGGGAGGGTTTTTTTGGGTGGGTTTTGCTGCTCCTGGGGGATCCACATCCCAAATTCCAGCGGGAGCTTCCCGGTGCCGTTGGAGCAATCCTGGATCCGTGACCCTGAGGAGCTCCATGAGATCTCAGCGAGGTCCTTCAGGAACGTCCCTCAAATGAGGTGATCCCACAGAATTCCCATCGGGATGCAAAAAGAAAAAATTAATTTTTTCGCCTTCTCCTGGTTTTGTTTCTAAGGTCAGAAATACCTCACGGATGGATTTGGGATTTTATTCCCAATTTTTTTTTGGTTTTTCTCCCCGCTCCAGCTCCCACCTCCACCCTTGTGGGGCCGGAAGTGCCGGATTTCATTCCAGGAGTTTTGGGGTCGGGTTTTGGGGTCGATTTTGTCCTAAGCACTAAAAAAGGGGAGTTTGGAGCCAGGGGAGGCTTCCCCAGTAAGCACCAGTAGCAAAATGGGGGGGATCCACCCCCTACCCGAATTCCAGGAAATTCCTGGGTTTTTTGGGAGTTTTGGGAGAAATTTTTTGGGCAATTTGTACTGGGAGCCCATTTTGGGCCATTTTCCTGAAAAAAAAAATAAAAAAAAAGGGGGGGGATGGATCTTCCTCTGAGGGGTGGGGAGTTCTCAATTCCATTTGAGAATTTTGGGAGATCAAAATTCCCTTTTTTTGGGTTCCGTTTTCGGGGTCGGGTTTGGATTTTGTTTTCCCGCAGAGCCGAGGTTTCTGTGCATGCGTGTAGAAAGTTGTAAAATGTCAAATTAATGGTTTTTAATATATAAAGAAAGCTTGGATTTTCCCAGAGTTTTGCAGTGGATCGGAGCGTTCCGGCAGTGGTAGGAATTTTTTTCCGTTGGTGTTTGGTTGGTTTTTTTTGGGCTTTTTTTTGTTTTATTTTTTTTTTTTTTTCCATAGAGGAACTAAAATTGTACTATTTTGTTTTTTTAATAAAATAAATCTGTTTTGAATTTTTTTTTCTTTTTTTAATTTATTTCGGCTCAGGGGCTGTGGGGCCAAGAGTTTGGGGTTTGTAGGGCCGAGGATTTGGGGTGTGTGGGGTGAAGTTTGGGGGTCTGTAGGGACAAGGATTTGGGGGTTGTGGGGTGAAGGATTTGGGTCTAAAGGGCAGGGATTTGGGATTTATGGGGCAACGAATTTGGGGGTTGTGGGGCCAAAGATTTGGGATCTCTGGGGCCAAATGTATGGCGGATATGGGGCCAAGGATTTGGGGTTATGGGGCCAAGGGTTTGGGGTTGTGGGGCCAAGGATTTGGGATTTATTAGGCCAGAGATTTGGGGCGTTTGTCACTAAATTTTAGGAATCTATGGGGCCAAAATTTTGGGATCTACAAGGCCAAAATTTTGGGATTTATGGGGCCAAAACCTTGGGATTTTGGGGCTGATGGTTTGGGGTCGATGCCCAACCCCTCCTGCACTCATCCCACCCCCAAATCCCCCAGAACTGCCCCAAAACCACGCAGGAAAACATCAGAGTGGGCTGCGTGTCCTGGCAGAGAAATTCAAGGATTTTTTGGGATAAAATCCCACTTTTTGTGCTGTTCCTCGTGCAGGGGACACCGGAGGGGCCTCGGGGTGCCCTCGTGTCCCCAGGGTGGGGCTGGGAGCCACCGGGGCCACCCCGGGACCCTCAGGAGCCTCCCGGGGGCGAGTCCGGCTGGGGAGGAGAAAATCGGGAATTGGAGAGGCTGGAATTGTCCCTTTATCCCGGGAATTGTCCCTTTGTCCTGGGAATTGTCCCTTTATCCCAGGAATTTCCCTTTTTCCCCAGGAAATCCCATTTCCCCAGGAATTCAATTTTTTCCCAGGAATTTTCCCTTTTTCCCAGGCATTCCATTTTTTCCCAGGAAATCCCATTTCCCCAGGAGTTGTCCCTTTTTCCCAGGAATTCCCTTAATCCCAGGAATTTCCCTTTTCCCAGGAATTTTCCCAGGAATTTTCCCATTTCCCCCAGAATTCCCATTTTCCCAGGAATTGTCCCTTTTCCCCAGTAATTTTCCCATTTTCCCAGGAATTTTCCCTTTTCCCAGCAGTACCGGGGGCTGGGGGGGCTCTGGCTGGTCCAAGGGGGTCTCGGTCTCCTCCGGGATTTTTGGGATGGGGTCGTGGACGTGGGGCTGGACCAGAGCCCCCAAATCTGCAAGGGAAGGGTCGGGATGAGAACTGGGAATCTCCGGGATTTGGGAATTCTGGGAATCTCCGGGATTTGGAATTCTGGAGCGGTTTGGGATGGGAGGAGTTTTAGGATCATCCGATCCCATGGGAAGGGACATTCCCACCATCCCAGACTGGAATTGGGAACTTCCAGGGATGGGATAACAAAATATCCCCATAAAATTGAATATTTTATTGAGATGTTTTATTTTTTATAAATATTCAATATTGAATTGAATATTTATAAAAAATAAAACATCTCAATAGAAGTAAATATCCCAGAAAAAAAAACCAATAAAAAACACCCCAATACAACAAAATATCCCAATAAAATAAAATATAAAAGAAAATATCCCTGTAAAATTAAAATATCTCAATAAGATTGAATATCCCAGAAAAAACGAAATATCCCAATGAAATTGAATATCCCAGAAAAAAATAAAATATCTCAATAAAACTGAATATTCAAGGAAAAATGAAATATCCCAATAAAATTAAATATCCCAGAAATAAAATCCCAATAAAACGAAATATAAAAGAAAATATCCCGGTAAAATCAAAACACCCCAATAAAATCAAACACCCAATTAGAAAAATACCCCAAAAAATTAAAATGAAATGAAATGAAATGAAATAAAATAAAATAAAATGAAATAAAATAAAATAAAATAAAATATAATGAAATAAAACAAAATAAAATAAATGAAATGAAATAAAATACAACCAAACTTCCCAGTAAAACCAGTTCTCCCAGTTACCCCGCAGGGCTCACC